ATCTCTGTGAGTTTGGTGCCAGCCTGGTTTACAGAGCGAGTTCCAGGACAGGCTTCAAAGCTACAGAGAAAACCTGTCTAAGAAAGAAAGAAAGAAAGAAAGAAAGAAAGAAAGAGAGAGAGAGAGAGAGAGAGAGAGAGAGAGAGAGAGAAAGAAAAGAAAAAAAAGAAACAGTTGCACTTTACACTTTGGTGTCTACAATGGCTGCATATATGGCCCTGTGCCTTTCTAAATCACCCTGCTCAAAAGATGTAACATAATAAGCAAAACTTAAAGTTTTGTCAGATGTTGTTGGTGGTGAACATCTTTAATTCCAGCACTTGAGAGGTAGAGGCAGGTGGATTTCTGTGAGCTCAAGGCCAGCCTGGTCTAAAGAGCAAGTTCCAGGATAGCCAAGGCTAAACAGAGAAACTCTATCTCGGAAAAAACAAAACAAAAAAAAGTTTAAAAAATTAAGTAAAGATGCACAAAATGGTTCATTTCTTTCACTTACAGATTTTCTCTTTTTTGTCTTCTGCAGGTTGGGTGTGGTGGTGCACTCTTTTAATTTCAGCACTCAGGGAGGCAGAGGTTGGTGTAGCTCTGTGAGTTCGAAGCTAACCTATTCTATAGAATGAGTTCCAGGACAGCCAAAACTACATAGAAACCTTGTCTCAAAAACCAAAACCAACCAAACAAAAAAGATGGTCTTATGAAGAGGACTGTTTAAAAATGAGACATATGAATCATCATAAAAAAAATGAGATATATGCTGGGCTAGGGCATGTCTCCAATCCCAGCACTGGAGGCAGAGGCAGGCAGGTCTCCGTTTATGTAGGGAGTTCTATGTAGAGAGACCCTGTCTCAAAGAAAGAAAAATGGAAGGAAGGAAGGAAGGAAGGAAGGAAGGAAGGAAGGAAGGAAGAAAGGAAGGAAGGGATACTGATTTTTCCTTTGTTTTTTGTTTTTGTTTTTCAAGACAAGGTTTCTCTGTCTGGGAACTCACTCTGTAGACCAGGTTGGCCTTGAACTCAGAGATTCGCCTACCACTGCCTTCCAAGTGCTGGGATTAAAGGCGTGTGCCACCACAGTTCAGCTGTATGCCCGTATTGTTAAACTCAAGGTTCTAACCAGAGTCTAAGTAAGCATAGTTTAATGCTGTCTGTACCATCCATGTTTGAGATGTCTTTGAAAAACACACATTAGCCTTGCGAGCAAATTTGGCTTTATCAGTTGTGTGAAGTTCCTTGACTCTCAGCCAGCAGGAAAGGCAGACCAGGGCCTGTTCCTTGTCTCCCTTCTCATTTTTCCTGTCTCTCTAAACTGTCTCAGCTTCTCGAAGGGATCTCTGGCTCTCACAAATGATTCCTTCTGCTCCAGGATGTGGTCTAGCCTACCTCCCACCGCCTGGGGGTAGTCTGCCTCGAAGGTTTTCATGTTCGGATACTCTAGGGTGACTCAGGAAAAAAAAAGTTAAGGATCCTGTTTGTCTTCAGCCAAACTGACAGGAGTGGACATACATGAGACAGAGAGCTCAGCCAGCCCGGAGCCCCGCAGGAGGAGTCAATGCTGTCTAGTACTGAGAGCTCCCAGATGCCCCTTTCAAGCACATAAAAGCGGGAAAGCTGTGCAAATAACAAAGCTCAATACTAGATATTTCCACCTGGTCCCATCCACTGTCTAGCTATACACATTAAAGGTCAACACTGTCCTGAGGGTAGGCAGAGTGGGGTGTGAGGAGGTAGAAGAGGTCTGGAGACCCTTCCAACGTCCATGTTGCTTAAATAGAGTGCTTGGTGAAGAAGCCACAATTGAGGACCCCTGGCAGATGCAACAGTGCAGGTTGGAGCTGGACTAAGGGAGGCAACATGAGAGAGAGCATGAACCTGAGGAGCAAGGTCTCAGGGTTACATGAAGTGTGGTCACTGAAGCGGGCCCCTAGATTGAAGGAGTGGAGGGGGGAAATAATGGGGAAAAATTTTTGCTCCTGGGAAGGGATGGAGCAGAATCACACACACACACACACACACACACACACACACACACACACACACGCACACACACCAGGGTGGGGAGTTTGGGGAGGGGGGTAGCTTAAGCAGGTGAAAGGACATGGTGCTCTCTGGTCCTGTGGCTGTTCCTGCCTTACATAGGCCTTTCTTGCCCCCAGCTATATGAATAACAGCTGCAGACACATCCTTCTGCCTAAACCCAAAGTTCTAGGAATGATGATCAGTACTCTCCAGCCAGCATTGTGGAGGCTCACCAGCAGGAGACGACTTCTAAGGGTTCCCCCAGCTTGGGCAGGAGACATCTTTAGGAAGCCCCTCAGGCTGGCAGCAAAGGCTGAAAAGTGTAGCCCAAAAAAGATAAGTGGGGGTCCTACCTTCAGCACCTCAGACTGTGGTGACCTTTGTAAGATACAGAAAGACAGGGCCATCCTAGAGCGGTATGAGGACTATCTCAGTGTGACTCCAGCCTTAGAACAGAAGGGCTTTCAAGCCAGGCAGCTGAGAACTGTCAGATAGCAGTTCTGCCTGGTAGGCAGAGCAGGAAAGACCCTCCCAGAGCTTCAGGGGCCACAGCTTCATGTACCTCCTCCATCCCACAATTTTGGACTCAATAGTGCCATGGGATAAATGCCTGCCATTTGTTCCTTCTGGTCATGCTGGAGGCACATCCAAGGCTTCCCCGAATGCTGGGTGAAGGGTCTTCTGCTGAGCCACACCCAGCCCTGAAACTGCTGGTAAGGATTCTGCAGTCCTTTGAAGACTCAGGAAGGGGCCGAGTGAGCTGACAGAGCAGTCAGCAGCAGCCATGTGAGGACTGTAGGAAAAACTTTTCTCCTCAAGGCATCCAATGCAGGTGCGTCATTATCCCGGGGACTGGAAACCACCGGTCCCTTTGCATCTGTTCCTTCAATCTCTGATATTTGGAAACCTGGCCTGGTTCAAAGTTGAGTTTGCTGTCCTGGCACCTGTCCTGCAGGAGTGAGTCTGCATTAGGTTTGGGGGGGTCTGTTGAGCATGTTATAGAAGTCCACTGTAGAATAATAGCTTCCAAGAAGTTTCATCTAATAAGCCCATTAAAGGGACTAAAATTTGTTCAGAAACAAGCAAACAAATAAACATACAAAGCGGGAACTGTGTTGACTGGGGATTAAAGTAGAGAGCGTGAATAAAAGGCCTGGCAGAGGTGAGCAGCTTTGACCCCTCAAATAATATTGTCATCACCAGAAATGAGTGTCCTTTCACTTACAATAGTCACTTTTCTTTCCAGGGGTTCTCTGTAGCTTTGGAGCCTGTCCTGGAACTAGCTATTGTAGACCAGGCTAGCCTGGAACTCACAGAGATCCGCCTGCCTCTGGGATTGAGTGCTGGGATTAAAGGCGTGCGCCACCACCGCCTGCTTCTTTCCCTTTTCTGAGGACAGAACCCAGGGCCTCGTGTGAGCTTGGCAAGTCTCTCTACCATTGAACCGAATCTCTCATCTCCCCTTACTGTCACTCTGTAAAGAAGGGTGTGGGGCTGGTGAGTTGGCTCAGAGCTCTTGAAAAGGACCTGAGTTTGATTCTCAGAACCAATGTCTGGTGGAGCACACCTGCCTGTAACTCCAGCTGCAGGGAGAGCCAGAGCCTGTGGCATCTGCGGGCACATGCACTCCCGTGCACATACTTACACACAGGCATATGCAAATACACATAATTAAAAATGATCAAAATAGTTGGGGGTAGTAGCACAGGCCTTTAACCCCAGTACTCCAGGGACTGATCTCTGAGTTTGAGGCAAGCGTGGTCTACAGAGTAAGTTCTCGGACAGCCAGGACTACATAGAGAAAACTTGTCTCAACCCTCCACCCCCAAAAAACAATCTTGCAAAACATTTACTCAAGCAATAATTAAAAGAAGAGGAAATGTTATACTCTTGTTAACACACTATCACCATCTGCCGGGCACACTGTCCCCTGCCTGGGTGCATAGCACAACCGTGTGTGTGTGTGTGTGTGTGTGTGTGTGTGTTCTAGTTTGCTTTCTGTCGCTGTGGTAAACACCATGACCAAAACAACTTGGAGAAGAAAAGGTTTCCCTTCCTTAAAACTGTCCCACATTCTCTGTCTTTCCTGGGAGTCACTTCCGTTCTATAGATGCAGGCCCCTTCTCTGTTCTCTTCTATGCACTCCCCTCCCACCCCCTGTGTCCTAGACTCACGTGCCTCTGCGAACTCCCCTTTCCTGCCAGCCCAGCGTTAGTCAGTTTACCTTACCCTCTCTGTCCGCCCTCTGTGTCACTCTTGACTCACAGGTGTAGCGGTCCACTCTGTTCTGTGTGTCTACACTCCTCCTCCCTCTAAATGTTCCTTCAAGTTGCAGGATGGACATGGCTGCCACGTCCACAGCAGTGACTGCCGTGTAGTGACAAAATGCCTCTGCGCTGGCTTTTGCCTGCTGAAGGATTGGGGTTAGAGCTTCCTGGAGCGAAGCCCCAGGTGGTCCCCTGGCAATCAGTGGTCAAGATAGGACCTGATGCCGTAGGCAGATCTCGTATCTGGAGATGGCCTTGAGAGCGAGCCCTCCTGGCACCCTGTATGATCTTTCTCTGTATTTCTTATCTTTCCTGTTCACAGCTGACCGCTTACCAAGAAATCAAAGTATGTGCTTGGCTCGGCCCCACTTTTCTTTAAAGCAGTCCTTGAGGAACTGAAGCATGCCCCACGCCACATGAGCCTTGGAAACTTTATTAATAATGAAACAGAAGAACAAAAGACTATAAATAAAAACTAGTCCCCCCACGGTAGAATGTGGTTAATGGTGCGAGACAGAGTCCTAAGAGACAAAACTGAAAGTCCTTGCCAACACCTTGCCAACATCTTAATCATGTAGAAGGAGTTTTGTTTGATTGTGCTTAGCCTTGATTTATGTCTGAAACCCTGAATGGGGTGATGCAGTGAGCCTGCCAAGTTTTTTGATCTGTTTTGTATATAAACTGAAGCTTTGCAGAAGTAAAATTGCAGCAGATTCTCACTACCAGTGTGTCTGTCTGTCATTCCCTTGCGTCGTATCCTGGCTATCCTATCCTTCAACCCTGTCCTCCCGTGGATAGCAGTCTCACAGAGGGACGGTCTGTGGCACATGGCCTTGGGGTTTAGGGTTACCCTGAGGCAGCATGACATCATTTTTTCCTTCTCTGGTTTTATTTATTTATAGTGTGGCTCTGCCTGGTATTACAGAGCATTTGTCTGTGGGTCTCTGAAGAGATGTGGAAACAGAATTATGGGGCCATTCCTGGAGTTTCTCGCTGCAATTTTGCCTTTTTCCCCATTTCTAGCAAATTTTCCTGTGCCCGACTTTGAGAAGCGAGAGGCTGACCAACCTAAGACAGCTCCTGGGAAGAAACAGGGCAGCAGTGAACACACAAACTTTGAGCTCTCATGGGGACTCACTAGAACTCGTATGGTGAAATTGCATTTCATTGCCACCAATGTCAGTCTCTAGCCACACCGGAGGAAGAGAACAGGAGAGTATGAACCGAAAGAAAAACCACAACGTCTGCGGAACTGGCTCCCCTTCTCGCCAGTTAATGAAGGTGAAACAAGGTTCCTCTCCACCGTCCTGGGGGAGCAGAATGCGGCCCAGCCACCAGTGGCGCTTATCTGAAGACTCCAGACTCCAGCACCCTTTACAACCGTGAGGCTGCATGGTGGGTGAGGTGACCCGAGTGTACCCTGCTTCAAGTTTCTCCATTTTGTTTAGGACAACATCTTACAGGATGTGTTATGTCCAGAATGACTACATTTTAGAAAGCAGCTCTTCACTCTATTTTTAAAAATAATTTATTTTACCAGGCCAGGCCAGGGCTGTTACACAGAGAAACTCTGTCTCAAAAAAAAATTTTTTTTAATCTTAAATTTTATTTTATGTGCATTGGTATGGTGTCAGATCCCCTGGAACTAGAGTTACAGACCGTTGTGAGCTGTCATGTGAGTGCTGGGAATGAAATCGGGGTCCTCTGGAAGAGCAGCCTGTGCTCTTAACTGCTGAGCCACCTCTCCAGCCCCACTTCCTTCTATTTTGAGTGCCAATACTGCAACAGATGGCTCCGTGCTGTGCAGGAAACAGCCACGGCTCAGACTGTTAGCTAATTGGTTCACAATAAGTTTTGTCACGTACGAACTTATCAAATTGTATTGGGAACACAGGGATACATGGGGGGATTAAAACCATTAAAAAAAAAAAGCCCTCTGATTTACTGAAGGCCCAGACTAACAGAAGAAACAACCCTCTCTCACACACCACATATATGAAGTGACGCTTCCTAGTGGACACAGTGGCACCTGCTGGACTCATCAGACCAGAACAAAGGGAGGCAGCTCCTGACTCTGTTGGCGGTGTGTGTGTGTTTCAGTTAGGCACGATCCCCACTTGAACCGTTAGTCTTTCCCGGCACTCACTTCGTGCCAGCTCTGTCCGCAGTCTGCTCTGGGCTCCAGTCCTCCAACAGTTTTCCACCGGATCCCTTACAGCCTTAAGGGACCCTTTATCTGCCCACCTGCGCTGCCCGCTGCCCGTTCCATCTTGCACCTGCTTTCTGCCTCTCCCTCCGGCACGGGCTCCTTAGCCCTCTTGCAGCTGTTCTGTAACATACATAAAGGCATGTCTCTGAGGTGTAACAGTGCGAAGTGAGACTGAGCACCAATACGAGCCTGTGATGGCCAAGGCCACGCCTATCAAAATCAGTAGTAACCAGTGGATGACAGGCACCAAAGAAATTGACCTAGCCGGCGAATTTGTCACTCAGTAAATTCTGCCCCGTCTCTGGGAGTATGTGTAGGACAACAAACAGGTTCTGCTGGGGTCACAGACAGGGTCATGGCTGCTGGAAGGAGGCGGGCCTTCTCGGTCACAGCAGCACTAGGATGGGTTTGTCTTCAGTCTCAGGTGCAGGATCTGAGAGGCTAAGTTCTGATTGAAGACTCACTGATCTACTCCAGGGCTGACTTCCTTGGGGCTAAGAGCCCAGCTTCATCAGCACCACCCATTCTACCTGGCCTTGGAAGGAGGCCAGGAGGCAGCTGCAGGTGTTCAAGGTGCAAGGGCAAGGCTACAGCTGGGGAGCACACCCTCCTCTGCAAAGCGGGGGTAAGGGCACTGTGGTGGTTGACCTCTTCTGACACATGAGTCAAGTATCAAAGGTAGTTGGGATAACGAAACAGAAACTAAAAGGTGACTGAGGGTCAAGGAGCAGCAAGGAGGATTGGTATACAGTAGGTTAAAGTTTCAATGTTTGGGGCCTGGAGAGATGGCTCGGAGGTTAAGAGCACTGGCTGCTCTTTCAGAGGACCCTGGTTTCTGGTTCAATTCCCAGAACCCACATGGCAACTCACTACTGTCTGTAATTCCAATTCCAGGGGATCTAACATCCTCACACAGACATGTGTGCAAGCAAAATATCAATGCATATGAAAAATAAAAAATTTTCAATGTCTGGGCTGGAGAGGTGGCTTGGAGGTTAAGAGCACTGGCTGCTCTTCCAGAGGACCCAGGTTCATTCCCCAGCTCTCATATGGTGGCTCACAATCATCTGGAACTCCAGTTCCAAGTTATCTGACTCCCTTTTCTGACTTCTGCGGGCATAAAGGCACACATACAGTACACAGACATACATGCAGGCAAAACACCCATACACATAAGAAAAGTTTCAGTGTTGCAATATGAAACACCTCTGGAGCATGTGAGAAGGCTGAGCGTGTAAGGGTGTGTTGCTAGTCTTTCTTGTAGGATTTTCTTTGGACTGCCAGCCCCCAAATAACAACACAGAGACTTATTATTAATTATGAAAGCTTGGCCTTAGCTTAGGCTTGTCCTGGTGTGGTGTAGGAGGCCCTTCTGTATTTGTATTGCTTTTATTGGTTGAATAAAGAAACTACCTTGGCCTTTTGATAGAGTAGTCTTAGATAGGTGGAGTAGACAGAACAGAATGCTGGGAAGAAGGGCAGTATGGCAGATGCCATGAATCTCCGGCCTGAGACGGATGTATATTAGAATCTTACTGGTAAGCCACAGTCACGTGGTGATACACAGATTTAATAGAAATGGGTTGATCAAGATGTGAGAGTTAGCCAATAAGAGGCTAGAGCTAATGGGCCAGGCAATGTTTTAATTAATACAATTTCTGTGTGGTTATTTTGGGGGTTAAACTAGCCAGGTGGCGGGACACAGCCCACCGCTCCTCCTACTACACTGGTGACTCTTATAACTTAGATTAAGCGATTATCATTAATCTACGTCTTGTCACATGACTTTTTACCTCTCCTCCATTCTGTATGTCTAGCTTCCTGGGTGTCTTGTTGGCAAAATCCTCGCCCCAGGATTCTAACCCTGAATTCCTCTCTCTCCCCAGAAGTCCCACTTATGCTTGCCTGCCTATTAGACACTCAGCTTTTTATTAAACTGACTAGAAGGATCTTAGGAAGGCAAGGTAAGATGGCGACACATCTTCACGCAGTGTGAGCAAATATCCCACATCAAGGGCGTTGCCACTGAGCCTGATGAGCTACCTCCATTTCTGTATCCCACGTGGTAGAAGGATGGAACAAGGCATGAAGAGCTGTATTCTAACCTCCATGTGCAGGACAACACTGTGGCACATGCTTTAAATCCCAGCATTCCCAGAGGCAGAGGCGGGAGTGTAATGATTTGGCGAGAGAGACCTTGGCAGGTGAGCATCAGAGGCCTCACAGCAGAAGAGACGCAAATATGCCATGCAGACAGAGCTTGAGTTTATTGAGAGAAGGGTAAAGGGGAGGGAAGAGAGAAAGAAAGACAAGGAGAGAGAGAAAGAGAGATGGGGGAGCAGAGAGCTGCTTGCCTCTTCAGAAGAACAGCAGGCAGAGAGTGGGAATGGGTAGAACTTGTCTTTTAAAGAGGCCTTTTGCACCTGCGTGCAGACTACGTAGAGATGCAGCCGCCGTAGGATCCTGGGCTGGCCAGGGTACTGCCTGGGTGCATCCTGCCAGGTGACAGGGGCCAGCATAATGCCAGAATCCTAACATTTTCACCCTTTTCTTATTATAAAAAGGCGAGGAGATTAAAGGGGATAGCAGGAGGGATGGAGATGGGGGGCCGGGTTTTCCAGACTGCTTCCTGCTGATCTGGGGCGTCGACCATCTTTGGGGGCCTGAGAAAGCTGGGATGCTGGCCACATCCTAGGGTAACTGGCTGTTTCACTCTATTGGCCAGGCTTGTGGAACAGTGGTGAGGGCTTTGGCTATTGATTGATAGTACTTATCTGGAGTGTGTCTGATCTGCTCGAAGTGAATCCAAGTCAGCTTTCTGAAACTTAGAAGAATTCTTTGAGTTTGTGAAAGTTTTAGACACATTAGCATTTTTACTTTTTGTAATCTGTATTGAAATAGACGTTGTATAAATGGCAGTATACCCATGCCAGAAATGACTGTGACTGATGTTTTTTGCCCCATAAAAAGTATCTTTGAGGTCTGTCATTCGGAAACCACCAAAGGGAATTTTAAATCTTGAGCGTGTGACTATGATACTGGTAGTATTCTACTAAAGCTAGATTAAAGGCTTATCAGAATTTTATTGATTAATGTTAAGATTATCAGTACTTAAGTTGTTTCCTCAGAAACACCTTACACCTTACCAGTTTGCATTTGCACACCTTAAAACGTCTTCTCAGACCCTAATGATCTCATCTCAAGCTTTTCAGGTAAGCCACCCTCAAAGTACCTGCTTCTCTGTTCCTTCCCCATCATCACGGCGTCAGGAGACCTCTGTCTTGTGAGTCTGTCTCTTCCTGAGTCTGGTAGCAAGTCTAAATTCAGTATTAGCTCTAGGAGAGTGAGGCCTGGGGGCTGACAACTGAGAAAACAGCTGGCAAAGCTACCAGTTGTCAGACTGCATCAGAAGTCTTGAGAAGGATAAATTTTACCTGGGTTATTGCTTAAAAAATGACAGAGACTCACTTGATGTCTGTCTGGAAAGCCACTCCTCAGGTTCCTCCATGACCACTGAGGGCAGGTCTCAGGGCAACATCTGTCTTCCGTCTGAAAGAGGAAGGCCTGCAAGGCTCCAGAAGATCCTACAGGCTTCTGTGGAGTAAGAATTCATGGAGGACTTTACTTTTGTCTTAGGCAACTTGAGGCAGTGGATTCCCCAGTGTCCTGGCATACACGGTCTGAAGAGGTCTCTGCAGCAGTAGGACCGAAAGGCAGTTTTGTTCAATGGCTAGTGCTGCTACTTATGAAGCAAGGCTCTTCTGTTCCCATCCACCTCCTTTGGAGATCAGGGTGGTGCCAGGAGCCAACCCATGTCTATTATAAAAAGCCTTTTTAATTAATGCCATATTCTCCAGATCTCTGAGCACTTGAGGGCTGTTTATTGGGTCTATCTGAGTTATGACTACAATGACATTAGTCCAGGATCTGCCTGGAGACCTGGAGCCAAGCTGAGGGGTTATGGAGGAATGGTTTACCCAGAGTCCTCCAGCTTGACTGTAACCAGTTTTAATTTAGCAGGCCAGATTTATACTTGTTTTTTTTTTTTTTTTTTTTTTTTTTGGTTTTTCGAGACAGGGTTTCTCTGTGGTTTTGGAGCCTGTCCTGGAACTAGCTCTTGTAGACCAGGCTGGCCTCAAACTCACACAGATCTGCCTGCCTCTGCCTCCCGAGTGCTGGGATTAAAGGCCTGTGCCACCACCGCCGGGCCTACTAGCCCAGGTTTAATGGGTAAAACACTTCTGGATGACTTTCCAGCCCTCCAGAGAGGAAATGGAAAAGAGAAACCAAAAAATCACATGTCTGTTTTCTGGGGGGCAGTTTAAATAACCTGTGGGAGTGGTCTTGAGTATCTTTGTGCGGAGTTCGTCATTTGGTGGACTTTCTGAGATGCAGCCGGGTTTGGAGAGAGATGGGGAGGGGCTTGGAGTGGAGCTTCCACCAGAACAATAACCATGCAGGCCTCAATCCCAGCTCTCTTGGGAGGTAGAGGTAGGTGGATGTCTGAGTTTAATGCCAGCCTGGTCTACCAAGGGAGTTCTAGGTCAGCTAAGGCATTTACACAAGAAACCCTATCTCCAAAATACAAAACCTTACTTAAGGGGCTGGAGAGATGGCTCAGAGGTTAAGAGCATTGCCTGCTCTACCAAAGGTCCTGAATTCAATTCCCAGCAACCACATGGTGGCTCACAACCATCTGTAATAGGGTCGGGTGCCCTCTTCTGGCCTGACAGACAGAATATCATATACATAATAAATAAATAAATATTTTTAAAAAAAACCTTACTTAAACACATTATATATAGCCCTGTGTAGCCCTGGCTGTATATAAAAAAGTATGTAGGGCTGGCAGATGGCTTAGCAGGCAAAGGCACTTGCTACCAAGCCTCCGACCTCTACGTACATGGCATACATGCCACACACATACATAAAAAAATACAAATAAAAATGTATATTGTTTCCTCAAGAAGTAAATAAATAAAATGTAATAAAAACTTCACAAATGTATGTTCCACTCCATCAGGAATCATAGACGCTCCAATAAATGTGGAAGTTTTTATGATGAGGTGGACAGCAGCTGCAACACTTGGCTAGAGTGCAGTTCAGTGATGTGGGCCCAGAGTGTTTCTCTTTAGTTCAAGACAGAGTTTCTCTGTGTATCCCTGGCTGTTCTGGAACTCAACCTCAGAGATCCATCTGCCTCTGTGCCCCTCACCAGCGTGCTAGGATTAAGGGCATGCCCCTCCATGGCTCAGCTTGTGGGGTCATTCTTAGCATGCAGGCTGTGGTTGGCCCAGCCCTTGATCCCCAGTATGAAGGAAGGAAGGGAGAGAGAGAAGGAGGGAGGGAGGAGGGGAGAGAGGGAGGGATATAGGTTTGAAATATGTTCAGTGTTGCAGAGAGACCACTATTCCAACTGAAGAATCTGGAAAAAGTAAACTTTCCTCTTGAGCAAGAGGGTGTATTTGGAAGATGGTACAGAGACAGGGAAGTACCTCTGATTTTCATCCAAGTTAGGTGGTGTCTGTGTCTTTTCCCCATTGGCCAGGGTTCAACCTCACAAACTGATTCAACTGGCTAGTCTGAAAAAAACCTGATGCACAGGAAATGAAGGAGGCAGGGGGAGATGGGCTCACTGCCCCAGGTCAACAAATTCCTGGAATAGAGCCCTGGGCCTTGGGTAAGCAAAGGCTTTACTGTGTGTGTGGGGGGGGGGGGGGGAGGATTAAAATATTTGTAAATGTTTAAATAAAAGTCTTACAAGATAGGGGAGATAAAACATTTGAATTCCTTTAATTAGAACCCTTGGAAGGTAGAGGTAGGCAGTGCTTTGAGTTCAGGCCAGCCTGGTCTACAGAAAGATCCTGTCTCAAACAAAACAATGTTTGAATTCCTTGTCCTAAACACAAGTTGTTTTTTTTTTTGTTTTTTGTTTTTGTTTTTGTTTTTCGAGACAGGGTTTCTCTGTGGTTTTTTGGAGCCTGTCCTGGAACTAGCTCTTGTAGACCAGGCTGGTCTCGAACTCACAGAGATCTGCCTGCCTCTGCCTCCTAAGTGCTGGGATTAAAGGCATGCGCCACCACCGCCCGGCTTAAACACAAGTTTTGTAGTATTCGATAGAAGAGATTCGTATTTGTTATTTATTTATTTATTTATTTTTATAGAAGGAAGGAAGGGAACAGTGTAAATATTAAAGCACTAGATTTTGAGGACAACCCTGTGGTGGGAACAGCCTTTGAGGGAAAATTCATGCCATGTCAATTTTTCATTCTTTCTGTTGTTGCCTTGTTGTGTTTGCTTTTTTATATGTATGGTTGTTTTGCCTACATGTGTGTATATGTATGATCACATGCTTCGAGGCCAGAAAAGGGCATCAGAACCTCAGGAACTGGAGTTACAGTCGTGTGGGTGCTGGGAATCAATCTTGGGTTCTCTGCAAGAGCAGTCAGAGCTCTTAAGCACTGAGACATTTCTCCAGTTGTTAACCCCACCCATCAAAAACAGACTACCGCCACAGTTTAAAGCCACATTTGAAGCAAGCATTAATTAAATACTGGCCAGATTGAAGGACGCTAGCCAGATCCAGCTCTGGGATTGCAGGAAATGGCCCCAAGTCATGGTTTAAAAAAAAGGTAAAATCAGGGCTGGAGAAATGGCTCAGTGGTTAGAAGCACTGGTTGCTCGTCCAGAGGTCCTGAGTTCAATTCCTAGCAACCACATGATGGCTCACAACCATCTTTAATGAGATCTGGTGCCCTCTTCTGGTCTGTAGGAATACATGCAGACAGAAAATTGTGTACGAATAAATAAATCTTATTTTAAAAAAAAAAGGTGAAACCAACAATTCACCACATTTCCCATCAGGTCCAGTCAGGGGCAAGCAAACATCCTAATGTATTTCCTGCCATATTTCATCCAGTTGGGGTCAAGGGTATATCCTGGTGTATTTCCTGCCTGTGTACCTCTCACACATATGTGATCAAGCACAACCAGAGTAGTTGGATCAACCAAACCCAGTGTGGCTGGGTCAACGAAACTTGTTTAGGGTAGTGAGAACACTCAGCTCTTATCTCCCATAAACCGCAGCCTCCTGCATTTCAGGAACTGTCTGTCCTTGGGCAAGGGCTTGAAGTCAGAGACATTCTGTTTCACAGTTCTCTTAGGCACAGTGAGAAGGTTGGATAGGGGAGCAGGGAAGCACATATCTTAGTTAACGGAGCCACCTTAGTGTTGGCAAGAGACTTGAACCTAGAGTGGCTCCCAGGAGCCCAAGGCGATGTCCCCAGTTAGTCCCTTGGGAAGCTGAGGATAGGGAACCTGAAATGACCCTATCCTATAGCAATACTGACGGAATATCTTCCATATCACCATAGAACCTTCATCTGGTGATGGATGGAGATAGAGACAGAGACTCACACTGGAGCACTGGACCCAATGAGGAGCAGATGGAGGGAGAACACGAGCAAGGATGTCAGGACCTCGAGGGGTGCACCCACCCACTGAGACAGTGGGGCTGATCTATTGGGAGCTCACCAAGGCCAGCTGGACTGTGACTGAAAAAGCATGGAATAAAACCGGACTCTCTGAACATGGCGAACAATGAGGGCTGATGAGAAGCCAAGGACAATGGCACGGGGTTTTGATCCTACTTCATGTTCCGGCTGGGTGGGAACCTAGCCAGTTTGGATGTTCACCTTCCTAGACATGGACAGAGGGGGGAGGACCTTGGACTTTCCACAGGGCAGGGAACCCTGACTGCTCTTTGGACTGGAGAGGGAGGAGGAGAGGAGTGGGGGGGAGGGAGAGAAGGGTGGGAGGAGGGGGAGGGAAATGGGAGGCTGGGAGGAGGCAGAAACTTTTTTTTTCCTTTTCTCAATAAAAAAAAAAAACAAACTGAACATATAACTTTGGCACATAACTTTGGCTCTCACACAGCCCAGAGTCTTGTTTTCTGAGACAGTCTTACCGTGGGCTGGCTGTCATTCCTTTGAGTCAGGGTTTCTCTATGTGGCTCTGGATGTCCTGGTTGGCCTGGAACTCATGGAGATCCACCTGTTTCTGCCTCCTGAGTGCTGGGATTAAAGACATAAGCCACCACCACCTGGCTAAAATTTCCTCAATGTTCATTTATGTGTGTGAGTGTTTTGCTTGCATGTATGTATATGTACACCACATGCTTTCCTGGTGCCCATGGAGGTCAGAAGGTATTGGATTCCTTGATACGGAGGGGGCAAAAGGTTATGAGCTGCCATGTGAGTACTGCATACTAAACCCAGGTTCTCTATAAAAGCAGCAAACACTTCTAGTGTTAAACCTGAAAGCTAGGAGACAGACCAGTTCCACAGTTATTCATTTAAAGCAACCTTTTTTAGTATTGTCCAGGAAGGTGGACATTGGTCAGGTTCATACTCAGGATCTCCGGAGATGTGGCCCCAATTTTAGGTCGGTCAGGTGTTCATAAAGGCAAACTCCTACAAGGCTATGGCACTTCCTGCCTTCCTTCATTTGGAGGTAAGCATATGCCCTAATATACTTCCTGCCCACCTATCTCCTGCCTACTTGGGATCACCCAGAACAGTTTAGGGAAGTGGAAACACGTGGCTTATATAAACAACAGCCTCCAATATCTCAGGAGAACCTGTCCTTAGGCAAATGGGGTTTGCAGGTTAACTTTAGCCTTTACACTAGTCTCTTAGCCATGTTTTCACCTCTCCTCATTTAAAAAAACATTTTCTTTTTTTTGAGACGGGTTTTCTCTGTAGCTTTGAATTCATTCTGTAGACCAGGGTGACCTCAGACTCACAGAGATCCGCCTGCTTCTGCCTCCCAAGTGCTGGGATTAAAGGTGTGAGTCACTACCGCCCAACTTTTTTTGTTTGTTTGTTTGTTTTGTTTTTGTTTTTGTTTTTCGAGAAGGGGGATTGAGACGGGGAATCTCTGTGTAACTGAACTGCCCTGGCTGTCCTGGAACTCCCTTTGTAGACCAGGCTGGCCTCAAAATCACAGAGATCTGTCTGCCTCTGCCTCTCAAGTGCTGGGGTTAAAGTTGTGTGCCACAACTGCCGGCCCCATTTAAAATTCTTAATTGAGATATAATTCCTATGCAACAAAACCACCCTCTTTTTTTTTTTTTTTTTTTTCCGTTTTCCTAAGACAGGGTTTCTCTTTGGAGCCTGTCCTGTAGCTTTGGAGCCTGTCCTGGAACTCACTCTCTAGACCAGGCTGGTCTTGAACTCACAGAGATCCGCCTGCCTCTGCCTCCTGAGTGCTGGGGTTAAAAGTATTTGCCACCACCACCCAGCTCAAAACCACCCTCTTAAATATAGAATTTGCTGTGTTTTATAGGTTGGGTAATCTATACAGTGGTCCTCACTGTCCAAACCCAGAATGCTCCCACCACTCAAAATCTGCTCCCTTCAGCCGTCAGACTCCACCTCCTCCCTACCCTGCTCTGCTCTAGCCCTTCTAGGGCATCTGTCCACGCGGTGTTCAAGCAAGGAATCTCCTTTATTCTTAAATAGGTTTGTTTTATCAGACATAGCAGTATCTGCCTGTGTCTGAAGTCAGTGATGGAGTCAATGTGAAGTGTGAACCTCAACTAGTGTAAGAGGAAAACAGGCATGACCTTTGACCCAGCTACGAGGAAGCTAGTCTTGGATGCATTTACACAAGTGGGCAGAGTTAGGCATGTTAGACATGTGCTGGAGGCTGCTGCTTTGGTCGTGGAGCAAAACCCTCTCCTGGCCCAAGTGAGTAAGACCGACCCACCAGTGGGGTCACAAACCAGAGATCGTGTGTTCCAACTTGGAAGGGTGTATACACTATATTGTTGTTGTTTGGTTTGGTTTTGGTTTTCATTTGTTTTCCTATTTTGCATAGCCCTTTTTATTCTTTCGGTCCCTGCCCTAGCCACGCCCACTCCCATTACCTCTGACCTGCCCGTCGCCATCTTGGGACCCTTCCTCTTTCTGCTTCCTTGGCGTGCGCACGCGTTTTCTCTGTCTCTCTCTTCTTTTATCTCTTTTCTCTCCTTTTATCTCTTCTTTCTTTCTTTCTTTCTTTCTTTCTTTCTTTCTTTCTTTCTTTCTTTCTTTCTTTCTTTCTTTCTTTCTTTCTTTCTTTCTCCCTCTTCCTTAATAAATACTTATGCCTATTTCCTGTGTTTACACGTCTGTTACCCGCCGCCACCACCCGTGGGAATCTGTAGCCGCTTTTCTCATGGCTGGCTCCACCAGCATAACAGCCCTGACTGGCCAGGAACTTGCTTTGATGGCCAGACTGGCCTCAGATTTATAAAGATCTGATGCCTCTGCTTCCCAAGGGGTGGGATTAAAGGTGTTACCCCCAAACCAGGCTTTTGTTTTTATTTCGGGACAGTGTCCTGGCTAGTTTTATGCCAACTTGACACTAGCTAAAGACGTCTGAAAGGAGGGACCCTCAGCTGAGAAAATGTCTACTTGAGATCTAGCTGTAAGACACTTTCTTAATTAGTGGTTGATGTGGGAGGGCCCAGCCCATGGTGGGTGATGCCATCCCTGGGCCAGTGTTTCTGGATTCTTTAAGAAAGCAGGTTGGCAGGGCAGTGGTGTTGCACGCCTTTAATCCCAGCACTCGGGAGGCAGAGGCAGGCAGATCTCTGTGAGTTCGAGACCAGCCTGGTCTACAGAAGTAGTTCCAGGACAGGCTCCAAAGCTACAGAGAAACCCTGTCTCGGAAAACAAAACAAAACAAAACAAAACAAAAACAACAACAACAAAAAAAGAAAGCAGGTTGAATAAGCCACTGGGGAGCAAGCCAGTAATAAGCACCCCTGTATGGCCTCTGCATCAGTTCCCGCCTCCAGGTTCCTGTCCTGTTGGAATTCCTGTCCTGACTTTTTTCTGTGATGAACACAGTACTGTGGAAGCATAACCCAAATAAACCTTTCCTCCCTAAGTTGCTTTGGAAATGGTGTTTCATCACAGCAATAGAACCCCTAATGAAGACCGACAAAGAGTTTTACTATGCAGCTCTGATGGCCCTGGAACCCCCTAAATAGACCAGGCTGGCCCTGGACTCTAGAGATCCACCTGCTTCTGCTTCCTGAGTGCTAGGATAAAATGGATGTGCTAGGACATGCAGTATTAGGGACGGAACCAGAACCTCCTACTTGACAGGCAGGTACTCTCTAGGTCATATTCCTACTAGCACTGGGGTATTTGCGGGGGATGGGGACAGTGGTGGTGAAAAATATTTATTTCTGTATATACGCTATGTGTGTCTGTGTGTGTATACACACATGAAGGTGCCTGAAGAAGCTAGAAGAGGTTGTCAGACCCACTGAAACTAAAGTTACAGGCGGTTGTGAACTGCCTGATTTGGGAAGGTGGGTGCTGGAAACTGAGCTCAGGTCCTCTGAAAGAGCAGCAAGTACTCTTAACCTCTAAGCCATGTTTCTAACTCTGTGGGACATATATTTTAAGACTGAAAATAAAAGTCAAAGAGAAGGGCTGGAGAGTTGGCTCAATGGTTTAGAGCATTTGTTGCTCTTACAGAGATGCCATGGGATAATGCTTTTGACACTGTAAAGAGTTGTCACTCATATTGGCCAGTATCCAGGCAGGAAGTGCAAACAGGGCAACCACACAAAGAGAATTCTGGGAAGAGGAAAGGCAGAGAGATGCAGTCATCAGCCAGAAGCAGAGGAAGCAAGATGAGAATGTCTACTGACAAAAACCAAGTCATATGACTAAACATAGATAAGAATTATGGGTTAATTTAAGTTGTAAGAGCTAGTTAATAATAAGCCTGAGCTAATAGGCCAAACAGTTTATAATTTATATAAGCCTCTGTGTATCTCTTTGGGACTGAATGACTACAGGACCAGGTGGGACAGAAATTTCCTTCTACACAGAGAACACATGGTTCAAGTTCTAGCACCCTATGGTGGCTCACAACTCCAGTTCTAAAGGATTTGACACCCTCTTCTGACCTCCTCAGGTGTCAGGCATGCACATACTGCACACACATCCAAGTTGACAAAACATTAATACACATAAAATAAAATTAATAAATCTAAAAATAAAAAGTTAAAGGTGGGGATGGAGGGTGAGGAAGAGAAAGTCAAAACAGCCAGGCAAGGTCATGTGAGCACTATAATCCCAATACTAGGGTCCTGAAGTCAGGAGGATCAATAGTTTAAGTTCATTCTCAGCTACATAGTAAATTTGAGACCAGCTTGAGACCCTGCCTCAAAAACAGTGAGACAAAACAAAAGATGTTAAAGTAAATCCAGGAAAAATAAATCCCAAGGGGATGACTAAGAAAACCAACACGTATATTAACTGAAATACAGTATGAGCATGTCATAGTGACAGCTCCCAGGTGTGTGACACTCCTGGCACAGAGAGCCTAGAATGACCTCGACTCTGCAGTGTCTTACTGAATAGGACCCAAGAGAGGGGTCCTGTGGGCAGTTGTTCCTGTGATTACGCCAAGACAGTGAGGTTTGACTAGGCATGGTGGCACATGCCTTTAATCCCAGGACTCTGGAGGCAGATAGATTTCTGTCAGTATGGGGCCAGCCTTGTCCATACAGCCAAACCGTGAGTTATAGGCCACCCTGTCTCAACAAACAAACAAATATACAAATAACAAAAACCCTGAGCTTTCCTTGGCAAGTTGTGGGGCCCTTCATCTCTGGGCAGATGGGGATGCAGTTCAAAGCTGTGGAAGTGCTCTAGCAGGGGCTTCATCCTCAGCCTGCCTCTTGGAGAAGGCTGTCTGTCTGACT